AGTAGGCCACACCAACCCAGCCCCCTGAGGGCAACCGCAATACTGATGCAGCCCTCAATGAAATTGAGTTTGACACCCGTGGTCTAGTAGTTTAATGAAGAGAAGGACAAGGAGGGACATGATAGCAGTGTTCCAATATCTCAGGGGCTGCCACAAAGAAGAGGAAGTCAAGCTATTCTCCAAAGCACCTGAAGGCAGGACAAGAAGCAATGGACAGAAACTAATCAAGGAGAGAAGCAACCTAGAACTAAGGAGAAACTTCCTGACAGCCAAAACAATTAACCGGTGGAACAACCTGCCTCCAGAAGCGGTGAACGCTTCAACACTGGAAGTTTTAAGAAGAGACTGGAGAGCCATTTGTCTGAAATGGTAAAGGGTTTCCTGCCTGAGCAAGGGGTTGGACTAGATGACCTCCAAGGTCCCTTCCAACATGATGATGATGATGATGTAGAATTAGAGCTACTGTTTCCGAACATCACAATAAACAAATCTTCGCGAGAGTTGTTCTGGGATGAAGAAACATGTAGATATGATCAAGCAACACACATTAATATACTGAATTTTGCAGTAGTGACAAATATCAGGTGTAGGATGAGGGTGAAGTTTTGTTCTCTGAGCTTGTGGGTTGCTACTGAAAATGTTACCTAGCCTGGTAATGAAACGTTTGGAAACCAACCCACGAGCTCTAAGAACGAACCTTCAGCTTCATACTCAACATTTTTATCATGGAGCTATAGTTTTTAAATAAGACATTATTAATAAGACATTCTCAATCTGCCACAGGTATCCTTAGCTGTGGTTACGCCCAATCATAAATTCCACTGCTCTAAAAATATCCGCTGTCTGTCAATATATAATTTCTTTGCAGTTGTATAAATTTGCTTTTACAATCTTTCTCTTGCTGCAAGTCATTTCCACACTGCAGTGCTGCAGTGAAGGGAGCACCTGGTGAAGAAACCTGTCTAACATTTAATTACTAAACACCACTCTCCAGTAAAACAGCAGCTTGAGTGCACAAATATTCTCTACAAATCCTCACACCAAGACTGACCCGCTCTGACTGTACTTCACACCTCAGGGGAAAAAACAAACAAACCCAGAAACCACCGAAGGCCTTTCTACAATCTTAGACAGCATGTATTTGCAAACTGCTTAATCACAACAGGATTTCACAAACTGTGTGTTAAATCTGCCTTTCCCTAGCTATGAATGTCATTTCCACTATATAATCAGCCATTGTAGACAGCCGCTTAATACTGACCCACAGCAGAAGATAAATTGTTTGCTGGATCCCATCCCTGGCTACTCGGTTTGTTAGCCAACAGCCTGTGGCTGAAATGGAAGAGGGACATAATCATTTTTGGTCCGCTCTTGGTAATCCCTTTGGTTCACTGACATAGCTCCATGCTCCTCTAGAAAACGCAGGAACCAATCATTCATTGTGCGAAAAAAAAAAATGTGATTATGTTGCTAGAGGCCGTGGCGCTAGACGGAATTTAACCAATTGGCTTGGTGTTATGGAAATCTGCATATCTAAGGAAGTCTGATAAAAGTAATACAAATTACAGGTTATGACCCACAATTGAGACCAAAATATCTGTTGCTAAGCGAGACAGTTGTGAAGTGACTTTTGCCCCGTTTCACCTTTCTTGCCACAGTTGTTAAGTGAATCGCTGCAGCTGTTAAGTTAATAATAATAATAATAAAAAGTTGGAAGGGATCTTGGAGGTCATCTAGTCCAACCCCCTGCTCAGGCAGAAAACCCTATACCATTTCAGACAAATGGTTGTCCAGTCTCTTCTTAAAAACTTCCAGTGTTGGAGCATTCACAGCTTCTGGGGGCAGATTGTTCCACTGATTAATTGTTCTAACTGTAACAAAATTTCTCCTTATTTCTAGGTTGTTTCTCTCTTTGGTCAGTTTCCACCCGTTGCTTCTTGTCCTGCCTTCTGGTGCTTTGGAGAATAGCTTGACTCCCTCTTCTTTGTGGCAACCCCTGAGATATTGGAACACTGCTATCATGTCATCCCTCGTCCTTCTCTTCATTAAACTAGACATACCCAATTCCAGCAACCGTTCCTTCTATGTTTTAGCCTCCAGTCCCCTGATCATCTTTGTTGCTCTTCTCTGTACTCTTTCTAAAGTCTCAGCATCTTTTTTACATCGTGGTGACCAAAACTGCTCGATAAGTGAATCTGGCTTCCCCATTGGCTTTGCTTGTCAGGAGGTCATAAAAGGTGATCACATGACCACCACCCCTGGGACACTGCAATGGTCATAAATATGATGCCAAGTGTCTGAATTTTGATCACATGACACTGGGGCGGCTGCAATGGTCATAGGTGTGAAAAATGGTCATAAGTCACTTTTTTCAGTGCCATTGTAACACTAAACAAACTGTTGTAAGTCAAGGGCTACCTGTACTTAGAAATGTTAAGAGGTCCCAAACACTCTCTGCCATATATGCCCTCGGTCCTATATATGCACACAGTTTTCTGTGTTTTTAAACCACCATTTAACTTTACACACCAATGAGCAACGGTAAGCAATTTAGCAGTAAAGAGAGCCTGTTGAGCTTGTTCTATACATGAAAGCCCTTCTAGAAACGGGAATCGCTTCAACGAATGCACAGGTAGATCTCAACTTATAACCATAATTGGGACTGGAATTTCTGTTGCTAAGTGATGCAGTCATAAAGTACAATGACATGTGACCGTATTGGTTAGCAAACAGGGCACAGATGTGAGGAGGAAATAGGTAGGAAGAGGAAGTTGAAGTGCCCCTGTAGTTGTAAATGCAGGTGGGAATGCCAAGTGCCTGTATTTTTATCATGTTACCAGAGGGGGCGCTGCAACAACAGAAACTTCAAGCACTGGTCATAACTGCCTTTGTTCAGTGCAGCTATAATAGAGGTCCCCAACCCCCGGTCCGTGGACCAGTACCGGGCTGCGGCACACCAGCAACCAGTCTGCACAAACAAGCAAAGCCCCATCAGCGAGATGCAGGCAGCACATAAAATCACGCCTCTCTCCATGTAACCGGTCCCTGGTGCCCAAAAGGTGGGGGACCTCTGAGCTATAACTTGGAACAGTTGCCGAACAAATGGTTGTAAGTCAAGGACTGCCTGTAATGATGTCCAGCGGTATAAAGTTTAGAAAAATCACTGGAGGGGTTTCATCCTTTTATCAAATGCGGCTGAGGATGTCAATTTCATTATTTCAACACCTGTACTCTGGCGGGCTCCTTAGTAGGCCGTTTCCATAACTGTCAAAAAATAATGTGATTAATAAACCTATTAGTAAAGGGTGAGTGGATATCTACAACACAGTCTTTCTAATTCTGTAAGCCGATCTGGCTAACAGAGACATCCTTTTTGCTAATACGTGGATTGGTTTCTTGTTATTAGGGACATTATTTAAAATAAATGAATTCCCCAACCCAATGGTCAATATTAAGTTGAGATTACACATTTTTTTCCTAATAGCCTCTTGGTGTAAAATTATATATTTTGAAAATAAAGTATATTTCACCATCACATCTGAACAAGTATATAATTGAAAGCAAACACAGAGTGTATTGCTGCTTATATAAGAAACTGCCTTTTAATAATATCAACACAGATTCTTTTTCCCCCCAAAGCCCATCAATTTATTTTACTCATCTCACAAATATTATATAAAAACAAAGGCAATTATGTCTGTCCCTAATGAAGAATAAGATATAACCCCCCACCTCATGCTAGAAAAAGATGCTTCTTTTACTCACCACTTTGGTTTAAATCAGGATTAAGAATAGAATAGAATAGAATAGAATAGAATAGAATAGGACCTTGGAGATCTTCTAGTCCAGCCTCCTGCTCTGGCAGGACAACCTATACCATTTCAGACAAATGGTTGTCCAGTCTTTTCTTAAAAACTTCCAGTGTTGGAGCATTCACAACTTCTGGAGGCAGGTTGTTCCACTGGTTAATTGTTCTAATTGATCTACTAAATCTACTAAAACAGTCTGAGACAGAGATATATAGTGCTAAAGTATTTGCCTGACCTTTCATAGTTTTTTAACATTAAGCTAGATGACAAAAATTACACAATCTGAAACACGGTAAACTAACCAAACTTTATTAAATGCGTGCAACCTGATTTTAAAAGTAAATCATCAAACTCTAAACAATCTGTTATATGGAAAAGTTATAGAAGTCTAAGAAATTAACTATACTAAACATTACCGCCATACCTTTCCATTCACAGGTGCCACGTTTGCTAAACAAAAATCCCGAGGCCATTTATTTAGTTGTAATATAGATTGACCCCAATAAGCCGAAGTGGTGGACCAGTTCACAGCATTAATCTTTATGGTGGTTAGAAATTTTGTTACAGCTACTCAGAGACTTGCTAGCTGGTTTTTATAGATGTTTTCACAGCCTGGTGTCAGAATATGTCAGAATTTATACGGAAGATAATATGTGTTGAGAGGAGGGATTGCAGGGCGCATCTCTTTATTATGGTTAAGGAAGGCTCACATTTCATGTTGCCTGACTCCATATGGCATTGCTTAAAAATGAATCAACAAATTTGCTTTCCCAAACACCTCTCGCTGCTATTGTATGAATGGTGACAGCCAAGGATCAACAATATTTTAGCCTTGTTTCTTCAACATAATCCTTGGCTAGGGAAAGTCTGTAATGCCTCTGCTTCTTCATTTCAAAGCTGCAAAATACGGATAATGCAGTATCCTATGACAACGGACCAAAAACGCAGGGAAATCTAAATTGTTTACATGCCAATTATAGGGATAAAACACGAATGAGCATTGCTCTTCTGTGCCTATCAACATCCGCTGGTTGCAATTTGCTTATGTGGGAAGGGATTTATTTTTTTTTCCTTTTACAAGTGAAAAAATTACCTGAATTAGACTGCTTTTTTTCCCCCATGAAGAGAAGAAACAGATTCTCCCTCTAGAACCCTGGGGTGGGGGGGTGGGGTGCCGAGAGCACCTCTTACCATTCGAGTCTTCCACTTCTTCGGCAGTAGTGTGGTTCTTGGAGGCATGTTGAGCATGCGAGGTTACAAGGCTGATAATTCGTGGTCTTGGTAGTGTCAATGCCTTCCCATGCACTTTCAGGGAGTGCTCTTTTAGCTGGCTGATTGTCATGGCGGAAAATGAACAGGAGGAACATTTGTACGCATGTTCACCTGTTTGAGCAAAACAACAAGCAAGTCATCAGCTCACAGGACAACAGGAGGGGAAAAAAAGTAAGCAGGTGAGAAAGGAAGCTCGGGAAGGGGATATTTTTTTTCAAATGGAATCGGCAATGGGTTTTAATGAAATCCCATGGGATCCTCTCCTTTGGGTGGGTGGTGGGGGAATCCTACAGAATAAAATTGTTTGAACTGTCCTATTTCCTAAAGTCTTGGGACCAAAACTGCCATACTAGAAGCTGTTCTTTCCTTCAAACCAAGTTTTGGAAAGTGGTTTGTCACTGCTTTTTCCTAGGGTGGAGAGAGAATGGCTGGCCCAAAGCCTAAGTCACACTGCCTAGGGCAGGACTAGAACTCACAGTATCCCAGTCCCTAGCCTGGTGCCTTAACCTCTATACCAAACTGTTTCTAATATGAGAGATTTGCACATTCAGACAAATAAGCTGCTGATAGTTTTATCCATGGTGAAAATTCCCTACGCATGGCATATGGATGGGGCAGCAAAGCCCAACAAAAATTGCTTAAGGGGGCAGAAAATGGGGATGGGGGCAGTTTTGCTTGAGGTAGCAAGTCAATCTCCAAGAGATAAGAAGGGAAATACCAGGGGCTAAAGTGTACAGTGAAAACATAATAATCATGCCAAACAGTACTTAAATGATAATAACCCTCATTAACATGATTAATGATGTGTTACTTGTACCGTGTTGATTGAGGTCATGAGTCCAGGGGTGAAACTGTAAACTTTCCTAGTGTGTCTACTGGTAACTACTAATTAATCCTTTTACTTGAATTGAACTTGACATTTCGGCATGATACATACAGACTTACATGCCCATCACATTATTTCTTTCCCAGGGAAGCAAGGTAAGTGCAGAAAAGGAACAGGAAAACGTAGCCCAGAGGAATTAAAGCATAAATATCAAAAGGAGAAGGAAATTTAATTCTTATACAGGTAGTTCTCACTTGTTCAGTGGCAGGTGTTAAGTACCATTAGTAAGTGATAGCAACTGGTCCTCTTAGCTGCAGCCATCACAGTGCACCCCCCAGTCATGTGATCACGACTGCATCCCCAGTCATGTGATCACTGCCCTGCATTTCCAATCATCACAGCATCCTACGGTCACGTGATCACAATTGCAACCATCCCTGCTGGCTTCTCACGAAGTCAATGGGAAAGCCGATAAGAAGTTGCAAATCACCGTCATGTGATGTCCCTGCTTTACAACTGCATGGCTGTCACTTAATGATGGCAACTGGAGCTGCCAGAATTGTTATCACTAAGTAGCATAGTTGTATGACATTGTGCTTAACAACTGCACAACTTAAGTGATGGGATTTCTAGTCCCAATTTCCATTATTAAATGAGGATTACCTGTAACACCATAATTTTCCTTATCTTTCTATACTTGAAAATAATCTTTTTATTCACCACATTTATACAGTGCCTTTCCTTTAAATTTGTCAATTTTTTGGAAGATCTTATCAACAGTTATATTTTCAGTCTTTTGTTTCCTCTTGATCCATTTTTTGATCCTAACATCATTCTTTCTGACCAAATCACTTCTATGTGCTTTCAGTTTCCCATCTTTGATAAATATTTTACCAAGGCCCACAAATTCATCTAAAAAAACCTGTTCTTGTTTTTCACAATTTTTGCAAAGCTTGCAGTGCTTAACTTTATTATTCCTGTCAAAGATAACTACTTTGGTCTTTAATACATTAATGTTTATATCCACAATATTAAATGCAAATCATCTGGGTCCTCAGCCAGCAACTTAGCATCATTTCTACAGAAATGTACATAGACATTCATATTCCCAAAAATGTACCTCTAATGTCAACAAATGTATGTTATATGCTCTGTGTGTGTGTGTGTGTGTATGTGTGTGTGTATGTGTGTATACACATATATATATCTAATTTCGTTAAAAATTCGAATCCTGGGTAAAGCCATATAGTAAAACAAATAAACGCGAACACCAGGATAATATCAAACTAAAAAACTATTTAATAAAATGCTGACCTTTCGTCGCTCAGCACTACCGATATCATCAGAGCATAAGAGTAGGTCAATGGGAGTCCCTTTTTATAGTATTGGCCAGTTTTGCACACGGCTCCTGGACCTGGTCATCGGTCCATCCAACATCCTTAATTGTTTAATTCCTGGGGGGCACGCATTGGCTGTTTCCTTGGTGTTTTTCAAGGCTGCTATTCCATTATCCACTTCTCTTCCTCCAATCCCCCTCTCCTCCTTGTACACACACCACCATCTGTTATCTCACCATTGATTCCCAAAGTTGCCGTTCTCCCCCCCCCCCTTTTGGCCACTCGCTTCCTTCGTATGTGTCCAATTATCTGCTTCTATCCCATTGAGTCTCGGGCTTGCTGTTCTTTCCTCCCCCTTTTTTCTTTCGATCGTTTTCCTCATGTATCCGTAGTCATTTGCCATATTCCCACTGATTTTTGGAGTCACTGTTCTCTCCTCTCCCCTTTTTAAATACTCGTTTTGTTCGTATGCCCCCAACCATCGCATTGTGTTAAACGTTCCAGTTCATTCCCTCTCTTCACCCCCATCCTGGATCATATCCGTTCCTTCTCTACATTGGTTTCGGTATACCCGGTGTGCGTTGGTTTCGGTATACCCGGATATTGGTTTCACAGCAGAGAAGGAGAGCCAGGGGTCTCTGGCCTTTTTAGATGTGCTGGTTAGCCGCAGGGTCCCATCTGGCTGGTGGCTAACCAGCACATCTAAAAAGTCCAGGGATCCCTGGCTCTCCTTCTCTGCTGTGAAACCAACGCACACCAACAGAACCCTCCATTATAAGAGCAATCATCCAGTGGCCCATAAAGCAAGCGGCATCAGGACGTTGTTTAAACGTATAGACTCACATTGCAACACAGCCAAGGCAAGAGCTGAGAAAGAAACCATCTTTTCTGTGTCTGTAAGTATAATGGTTACCCAGAAGAATTCATCAAGGGCCATAGCAGACCACTTAGACCCCGGGAAGAGCCACAGACCAACAAGGCAACAACACAAACCATATGTGTCCCCCTTCCATATATCAACAATGTATCGGAAGCAACAGCCAGATTACTAGCTCCCCTCAATATAAAAGTGGCCCACAAACCAGACCAGACTTTACGCGCCAGAATCATGCACCCCAAAGATCCGCTCCCCAATGAGGAAAAATCATCAGTAATATACAGGATTAAATGCAAGGATTGCTCTTGCAATTATGTTGGGGAGACCTCTAAAAGACTAAAAACCAGGGTGCTGTCAAAAGAGGCGAGCAACACTCGCAGGTGTGGACCCACATGACTAATTTTGGTCATGAGTTCGATCTCACTAACGTACAAACCTTATCCAGAGATGCTACCAAAGGAGGCCGCCTACTTAAAGAGGCTTGGCTCTCCGACAACAACTCTGTATACCGTCATGTAGAACTCTGCCCAGCACATCAGACACTGAGAACATGGGATAAACAACGCCATGAACCCCAACGAAAGCAACCTACTCATCCATCACAAGGCCAGGGAAATATGACAATAAAGAGAGCAACCGGCCAAAATAACAACAGACCGACAGTGCTCACCAAGAGGGTAATAGAGAAAGGGGGACAAGGAGTGCACCCCAAAAATATCTTAGGCACACACAATTCAACCACCCCACGGAGTTAGAAGAGGATGAGGTGAAAGTAATACCACAACTCACTGACAGCCCGACAACGAATAATTGCGAACGACCGGCAGAAGACCCCTCCCTGGGAATTTGCACACAAGCAAAAAAAGCATGAGGGTTGCTAAACGGGGGAGCAGAGTCCAATGGACAACTGCGGATGGTTTGGTAGTGCGGAGGCGAGGACTACAAACAATGGATAAGAGAAAGGAAGATTGGAGTGAAAAGCAAGGAGGCCCCCCAGATGCCCTGGAGCACCCCCGGAGTGGAGCAACGTCCCCAGCAGAGGAGCGAGTATAAGAACACATCGGCCGGAAGCCCCAAGGACGGACACCCGAACATGCTCGGCAGACCACTCTGGAAGCGCCCGCACACGCGCAGAAACAGCGGGGTAAAAGATCAGGAAGACGGAGCTGAATACACAACACATTGACAGCCCCATAGAGAAGGAACGGATATGATCCAGGATGGGGGTGAAGAGAGGGAATGAACTGGAACGTTTAACACAATGCGATGGTTGGAGGCACATGAACAAAACGAGTACTAAAAAAAGGGGGGGGGGAGGAGAGAACAGTGACTCCAAAAATCAATGGGGATATGGCAGATGACTACGGATACATGAGGAAAACGATCAAAAGAAAAACAGCAAGCCCAAGACTCAATGGGATAGAAGCAGATAATTGGACACACAAGAAGGAAGCGAGTGGCCACAAAGGGGGGGGGGGAGGAGAACAGCAACTTTGGGAATCAATGGTGGGATAACAGACGGCGGTGTGTGTACGAGGAGGAGGAGGGGGGGATTGGAAGAAGAGGTGGATAATGGAATAGCAGCCTTGAAAAACACCAAGGAAACAGCCAATGCGTGCCCCCTAGGAATTAAAAAATTAAGGATGTTGGATGGACTGATGACCAGGTCCAGGAGCCGTGTGCAAATCTGGCCAGTACTATAAAAAGGGACTCCCATTGACCTACTCTTATGCTCTGATGATGTCGGTAGTGCTGAGCGACGAAAGCTTAGCATTTTATTAAACAGTTTTTTAGTTTGATATTATCCTGGTGTTCGCGTTTATTTGTTTTACTGTATGTATGTATGTAGGTAGGTAGGTAGGTCTTTGGTTAATCGGGTTTTCTCCCGCATAAAATTGGAAGTGTCTTGGCGACGTTTCGGCCAAGAAACTTCCAATTTTACACGGGAGAAAACCTGAATAACCAAAGACCAACATACAAACACCCGCGAAAACCTCAGAAAATATATATATATATATATATATATATATATATATATATATATATATGTGTGTGTGTGTGTGTGTGTGTG